TCTACCCAAGCAGTACCCTCACGTATGCATATGCAAATGCTAAGCCTGAGCTCGGAGGAAGTAATTGTATGCATTTTTAACTGGCCAATCGGCTGCCAGATAGGCATAGATTGTCTCTGCTGCTTTTTTTCCTTTTTTATTTTTAGCTCTGTGCTTCCCCCTCCAGATGCAGAGAAATTGTTCCATGGTTCCAGTCTGCTGTAGAGTGATTAGAAATGGACCCGCTTTTCCTCCTCTCTCTCTCTCTCTCTCTCTGCCACCCACTCCCTCCCTTTCTTTTGCTCCTTCCCTCCATCCATCCCTCTATCTCCACCTGAGATGTGCTTCATTCCTTTTGAGATTCTGCGGGGCCACAGCATCACTCAAGGGCTGTTTCAGTTGGGTTTTTTTCTGGGTGCAGGCAAAGAAAGGGCAGAAGCAGAGGAGGGGAAGAAGGAGGGGAACACAACTAGGGCATCAAGATGCCCGCCACACCAGCCGTCGAGGTGCCCACACGCTCCGTGCCCGGTCATACATGCTCCGAGACACACGATGTATCGCCCTTACCCGTTGTGCGATAGTCTCTGGAGGCATGGAAATTCCAGCGACCAGCAGGGGTTCCTTCGATTTTGGGAATGGTACCTCTGATAGTCTGCTGTTCCATTCTGAAATCCTAATTTTTAGTTTAATAGCACACAGATCCTAAATAGAGCCACTTTGAAAAATGGAAGATAAGTGTAATAACAACCTACACCGGTCGAATACCTCTTTGCAGTTATTTAACTTGATAAAGTCGCTTGTAAAGTTCATAGAAGACACAGTTATCGTGTACATATTTCAGGGGACACACTGCCACGTCATTAAAGGTCTAGCTGCATAAATGGTTATATTATGGTTACATAATGGTTAGCTATGCACTGTATTGACCTGGATACACAAATACATGACATATATGGTGCTGTAGACAGATGTGCCAGGTAAATAATTAGTAATGAAAGGTACACAAAGGGTTTGGAGAACTTGGCATGTCAACTAAGAAAGAAAGTCAGGAGAAAGGAAGAAGGCCCGTTTTTACCAAGGTAACCTGTGAGCAGCAGAGGTGTATGACGCGTCACCCCCCTCATGCTCACTTTGGGGCAGTCCGCATTGTTCCGCCCCTTGAGGACCCCCACTTTCGATGGGGTGAATGAATGGTTTTGTCCGTGAAGCTGTCAGTCGTGAGAACACTTAGCAACCAACCAATGGAATCGAGCCATTAAAAACACATAACGTGTAACACTGAAAAAAATACTGTCACAGATAAAATAATCAAATGAATATTGTCCTATGAAATTATTATTATCAGTAGCAGGATGCAATGTGCATCTTGGCCAGACAAAACCCTCATCCCTAAACAGTGTGTCTTGTGTTTTGTCATTTTCTTACATGAATTTTTATTATAAAATACAGAAGAGACAGCAGTGTCTGTGTACTGTGTGTGGACAAGTGGACACTTTCTCTTTTTTCTACATATTCTTCTCTATAATTTTGTGCGTAGGAGAAGGTGATAAACAGTCATTTTAGAGGGATGAGAAGAGAACAGAGAGGGGAGGGGGAAGAGCGAAGCACAAGCAGGCAAAAAAAAATTAGCTAGTAAGTTCATATCAAGAAAAAAAATACTCCCTGAAGGTCAGCATCTCCTTGCGCCTGGAACTTGATGTGTGCCTGAGCCATAAAACACGAAAAACATGGATTATTTGCGTATGTCACACGGGGTCTGATAAGGGATGCATTTCTGAATGATGAATAAATGAGATCAATTGTGAAAATGATGTTCCAGACATTTTTGTCTGTGTCTTAACTATAACAAGTAGCCTCAACACTCTGAAAACCCTTTTATGGATATTTTCCTTTGGAAACTGTAGCCTATTCCTACATCATGTCAATGGCCTCCACTCTCCATTATGCCATTGCAGGATCTCCTGGACTAGGAGCTGGCTGGTGTAGGGCCGGCAGTAGGGGGCGACCTTAAATTCACTTTAAGATGAGAAAACATACCAGGTAAGTCATTTACCTTTAGTATAATTTAAAAAAAATGAATGAAAATGGCAACATATATCTGTTTTCTTCCAACAAACAGCTGTGAGATTGCAGAGACCCACCATGACAGAAAGGCAGAAAAGCACACTCTCCTGTGGGCACTGAGAAAATGTCTCTGCTGCTGGTAATTCCCTCCTATTGGGGCATGTAAACCTGGTTGGGGTAATAAAGGGCAAAACCTACAAAGGCACCTACAAAAATTGCGTAATTATGATCATTAACTTGGCATAAACATTATATGTCCAAAAGAATGTGGACACCAGCTCCAATACCAAGAGTATTAATATGAGGTTGGTCGGCCTACTGCTGCTGTAACAGCCTCTACTCTTCTGCTAAGGCTTCACATTAGACGTCGGCACACATTGCTGGTGGGCTTTGCAGCCATTCAGGTGGGCTATTGAGGTTGGGTCACCAGGTCCCTTTCTGTGAACTTGAGTGCCTGCCACTTTGCAGCTGAACTTGCTCCCAGATGTTTTGATCTTCACAGTCACTTCACTTACGTTAATCAGGGAGGAGAAATGTGGCAAACGGAGTTGTTGGAGAGAGTGGTGGTGCTGAGAGTCACTAACCTCTTCTGCACATCCATCAGTTCTGCTGCCCCTGCTTGTTGCTGGGTGGCTGGGGGCTTAATTATACACCCAAGTCAGAAATCTGTGTGGCATAATGGGCCAATTCCTCTGATTAATAGGGGTGTTCACGTACTTTTGGCTGCGCAGGGGACATAGCATACCAGCAGGATGAAGTCTTCCATTGTGGTGGCCCCCCCATATCGCAGTCCTGCCTTTTCTTAATTAAGACCCATTAGTGCTGGTCAAAGGGCATGGAGAGCCGTAGGCAGGCTTCGCCCCCCCCACCCGTGATCCCCCACCCCCAGCCTGAGGAGCATGTTGCACTACCCAAAACAAAATGCAATTGGCGGGCTAAGTCAGCGCCATCTCAGAAGATGGTGCCCCAGGCAGCCACCTATGCCACCTAACGTTAGACGGGTACTGCTTTCGGCTGTGGGCCAATACAGCATTGCAGGGTGGGGCCAGGGTGGGCATGATGGGCAATTCCCCCGACTGCCTCCCCTGCCGACCCCTCCCTCAGAACCCAAACTAACCCCCCCCCCGCACCGGCCCACGTCGCGAGGTGATGGGCCAGGATGAAGAGCAGAGGAAGAGGAGCCATTACCAGGACTCCCGCGCAAACAGCCGCGATGTCTCACAGATGAGGGACCCTACGTGTGGCAGCCCGGGGACAGGCGGAGGGTTCCAGAAGCCAGCATCCTGGGCTGACAGGCGCGTTCATTCACAGATTCGGAGTGGCCCGTGACGCTGCGAGAGGACGCAGGCATGCCTTGGGGAGGGGGGCTTTTCCTTTCTGCCTGAAAATACATATTGTGTGTGTGTGTGTGGATTAGGTTTCTATTACATTGTGGGGACCAAATGGTCCTCATAATGTAATAAAAACCTGTTTTTTCAATTTAACCATTTTTCAGGTCCCCACAAAGATCTGTTAATGCAAGTTAGAATGGCAAAAGTCTTGTATTTTGTTTGGTTACTTATGGTTAAGGTTAAGGTTGTCATGTTGGGATTAGAGTTTCCCCATAGAAGTGGATGGAGAGTCCCCACAAAGATATAATTACAAACCTGTTTGTGTGTGTGTGGATTATGTTATATAATTTATTATCTTAAAATGATTTTGTCTTTATCTTTAAATAATTTATATTTTTTGTATTTTATGTATTAAAAACTAGGCTCTCTGAAAGACCCAGAACTGCAGGCTCACTCACATACAGATATGACATCATTTCCTGCCATATTTACATTTTTATTTTTAATTAGTGGGAACAACTAACCAGAAACAGGAACCAAACTTTGTCAAAAAGGAATTTAAAAAACTGTGTGCAATGTACATACAGTATATCTCATATCTATAATATATATATATATATAATTATCTTGATATAGAAAATGTATTTACTATGAACTCTACATGGATAGATTATAAGCAGCGAGTGTCCTGTATACACGCAACGCCCTCTTCCTGGCCCCTCTAACGTAGATCTGCAGTGACACACCAGGTGTCATCAGAACCACAAATCACTTCAGAGCCCAACTCTCACTCCCTCCCTTCCTCTCCCACCCTCTCTCTCTCTCTCTCTCTCTCTCTCCCCCCCTCGCCACTCACTCAACTCAAACACACACACACACACTCTTCCTCCATCCCCTTGTGTGTCGCTTCACATTTAAAAGACAGTGTGTGCGTGTATGCATATATATGTACTGCATATATATATTTATATATATGAGCACTTCAGAAAGCAGGGAGGGAGGGGGGCGGGCCGATGGCAGCCTGATCCAGCCCCCTTAAAGCTGAAGCGGCAGAGGAACAAGGTCAGGCAAGTCGTGGGGCCGCTGCCGTCCCCCTGCTGCTGGGGGGCTTTTATGCAAATGAATTCCATGACATGCCTGGATTTGTTTATCAGCCCCTGGCCCCTCCCCCCACATTATCACCCCCTCCCTTTTATTTTCTCTCAGCTCCCACCTACTCACAGCTTCCCTTGTATGCTGAAGATAATTCTTTGGGTTTTTCATCAGCAGGCTAATGCTGTCCTGCCCCCCCCCAAGCCCTAACCCCCACATTGGCACAGGTACCAATCATACCAGCCCCGGTATCTCCGGGCATTTCTATCCACATGAAAGCGTCACGATTTATCTCAAAGGGCCAAGACATAAGGAGAAACCAGGATATCAGGGATACTTTGCTTTGAAAACTCTGTCAGCTTTTGTGACACATGTGAATCATGCCATTCCTAATCACTAAATTACCTGAAGGCATCACCGATCATGTGGAAGACATGTTTTCCTTAGCATCCGAGCCAGATTAGAGCCACACGATGAGGGGGGGAAAAGGGGGCCGTTACGGCTGTGTTCTAAAGCTTGGGCAGAAGCACTGGCTGCAGCTGTGCACGGCACGCAGGACCGGGCGTGTGTCACGTAGAGGGCTGCAGCTAGCAGCCAGCCTGCCAACATGCTGCTGGGGGGGGTCAACAGGTTTGTCTGGTGGCTTTGTCTTCCGCCCTCTCATACCTGTTGACACTGCAGCGGAATCGCACCCCGACCTCACCAAGCTCCCCTGACCACTAGTGGACTAGTGCTGTGATGCACCAACAGACTGGCTTCTGCAGCAACAAGTGCGAATGCTTCTCCCCCCTATTCACCTGCAAGACGGGGGGATATAGACGAAATGTGAAACATCTGAAAATTCAAATCCCGCCCTCCCTAAGACTGGGAGGTTCTCTGCACACTGGTTGCCAGCAGCAAAGCAATCACTGGTCAGTCGTTACGATCACAATGGTGAGAGAGGTTTTTCCACAAAAGGAAGAGGGATTATTATATGTATGGTGTGGGGGTTATGGGACGAGGCATGTTATAGAACAAAAGTTATCTTAATGAGCCTGAGAAAATATAATGTGTCTTTCTGAACCATCCCATAATACACCCATGTCCTCTGCATCAAAAACATGTTTTTGCTACAAATAGCAAAAGCTCTATCTATCTATCTATCTATCTATCTATCTATCTCTCAATCCTAAGCCACTTATTTATTATGGAGGGGGGGTCTTCAGAATAAATGTTCTAGCTGTTCTCACCCCCATCCCTCCATTCACAGGGCAGATCATGGACCACTCCATTCCCATGCGTGAGTCTGCAGCGCCATGCTCTCCAGCGGCCTCTGAGAGCTGCAGTCGCCATGGAAACGTGGCCAATCGCAACATCCGCCTGTTACATGGGTGGGGACAGTGCGCAGCTTGAGCGGGCGTGGAGGGTGGTCAAACTTTAAAGACCACCTTTAAGAATGCGTGTGGGCCGATGCAGCATGGCCGTGAGTTTAAAACTGAGTGTGAGCCGCATTTTTAAAAACACACCCAGCGCAACTGAAGGGAATGCAAAAAATTAAAAATACCAAAATAGCAACAGTTGGAGGGGATGCTTTTCTGTTGATGCAAAGACCAACCGGGCACGACGTAGGCATTCGGAAATGCTGGACAGTGCCAAGCCGGCGGCCTGGTTTATGGCTGCGGTCAGTTTCCATGCCGTTCACCAAACATGAAGTTAGTGTTCTCTGTTTTTACCCTTCACATTTGCACATTGACATGCATAAGGGCAACAATGCAATGTATCAAATGCAACATTGCATATTTTTAATGTTGCATAAGTGTTGTGTACTTTACAAAGCCCCTGTTTTTAAATCATAATCCTTCCACGGTCTGTAAGAGCCACTCCGAACACCTGCAGCATTAGACGTTTCACACAGTCAAGACCTCGTGGTTGTTTTCCTCGCTGTGTCTGCATCTTCAACGAGACGCTGATATTTCAAAGAGTTTAGTGGTTTATTTCATGGAAGTGAGCGCATATCTTTCGAGCAACGAATTTCTCTTTCTAACCGGCATTTATTCAAGGAAGGCTCTGGCACTGTACGCATGTCCTGATTTTGCTGAGCTCGATGTATCCCTGGGTCAACAAAGGAGGGGCTTGCGGTTCACTTCTTTAACCAATCACAGTCTTCATCGTATGACATCATCACATTGGTCTGTTTTTTCTGATTTCAAAACTCAAGGCTTCAAGCCATTAAGACTCAGGTGGGGTGTAGCTCGGCAGGCTAAGCCTCTGTGCTTGTGATCAGAAGGTTGCAGGTTCAAGCCTTGTTATTATTATTATTACCATAATTATCATGAAATAAAGATGCACCCTTACATTGTTCTGTGCAGCCGTTGCAGGGAAGCATATTTTCTTCTCTGGCCATTTGACTTCTGAGACATTGTGGCATGGTTTCCAATTCACCTCCCCCCCCCCTTCACGGCTTGTCTCCAGAGGGTTGCAGCCTGTGCCACTAAACAAACATGACCAGGCGCCCCCCTGCGGCCCCCCGAAGGGGATCCTGGACCTCCAGGTGATGGTGACAGGCCTCCTGAACAAACGCGGTGTGATCAGCTGGCCCCGTGGAGCAGGGTGTACCCTGGGCCTCTGCTTTCAGCCCTATCCTGGGGTCTGGCCTTCAGCTGCTGGGACTTGGGGGGGGGAATCGGAGTCTGATATGGGCAGGGGGTGTGAGGCCAGTTCGACGCGGGGACTTCACTATGGCTATAAAGCCCCCGCACAGTCAGGAAGAGGAGAGCTCCCCACGCAAGTCATGCAGCCATTTGCTGTAGGAA